GTAAGTACCCGAACGTTTCCTAACTCGGGTTACGTTTAAAAAACCTACGTAACGTCTCTCTCTCTCTCTCTCTCTCTCTCTCTCTCTCTCTCCCTCCAATTGGATGTTTGATAATGGAAAGTGGAACTATGGATTTTGGGCTCAACGTTTTTTTATCAAAATGGATATCTTTATTTCTTGGAGATTCAAATAGCATTAATATGTAATATTAAGTTGAAAATTCACGTAGCATGTAAATGAGGATTGTATGATGTATCTAGGGAGGTAAGCCCATCTCAAAATTAAGTAAGAGATGCAACTTCAACGTCGGGAGGCCCTACGATGACGTCAAAATCTATTTCCACACCTGATTATAAATTATGAAAGGGATTGGGATTGTCTACAAAGTGACTATTTATCATATATACAAAGGGGTCATAATTATTTTTGTCTTTTGAATTTCAAACCGGGTAGGTGTAAGGGTAGGTGTAAGAGTGTTATTGAATAAGCACAGTTTCAAAAAAAATTCTCGAATTTCATTATTCACTTTAAACCATTCAATTTGACATCTAATGGGTGGGAATAGTTGTGAACTTGTATAAAAGATAAATGACCTTTTCATAGGCATTCCCATTATGAAATGTAAAGCTCAAAAAATCACACATATGTAAGCCATTTGAATTTGAAAATGGATTTTCTAGATAATATTTTATAAGATGTACTATATTTATGACTTTTTTTTTTTTTTTGCCGTTTTCCTTATCTGTGAATCTAGGGGTTAAGATGATAAATATGAGGGTTTTAAGCATATGAAATAACCTTTTTAAATAGATTTTGAAGGTATCCACATCTTTGATGGATTTTTTTCCTTGTTTTCATATCATTATGTTTATTTTAAAATATTTTCTGGCATTTTTACAATTGCGACGCGAAGTGAAGCATACAGTCCCCAAATTTGATCTCCTTCAGATGTACAGATAAGAAAATAAAATTAAAATACATTACAAGCTATCAAAAAGTAGTACCAGTCTGTCAAACATAAAAATTCAATAATAAATTTTTTTGGCCAAATTCTGACCAACAAGAATTACAAATTTTCTCAACATTCTGAAAGTTCGTGGTTCCATTACATGGATTCCATCTATTGTGTGAATCTACTCTCTCACATGGATTCCATCTATCCTGCGAATCTGCTCTCTCTCCTCCCGTATAATGAACATGAAGCCAAGAGTTCCACTCTCTAATTGTACCCCGTCCAGCCAAAGGTCATTTCTCTCTCTCTATCCCCCTCTACGACTCTCTCAAGGGTTCATTTGGAAGCATAGAGAGGTGGAAGCCATAGAGAGGTTGGAGAGGAGTGAGGGGTGAAGTAGATGAGAGAGAGATGGGTTGGATTGTTTTTGCTCATAATTCAGGGAATGGACGAGAGAAAACAGAGATGGGTTGAATTGGGTTGTGTTGTCCTGGGAATGAGAGAGAGAAAGAGAGGCGATTTCTTTTGTGAAAAATTGTTTTTCTTATTTAACCTTACTAGAACTTTAGAGTTCATGTTATTGGTCAAACTATTGTTAATGCTAAGAAAAGGAGACTCCATCAATATAAAATTAAAGTGGGGGATGTGGAGCTCACTAAACCAGTTAGTCTTGAAAAGAGTTTAATTAATCATTTCAAAAAAGCTTTTTTAGGAGAAAAAAGAAACTATTTTAATCTTGAGAATGTCATCTTCGACAGATTGCCTTGGGCTTTAAGGTTGGAAAACCTTTTTCAAAATAGATGAGATAAAATGTGTTATTTTCTCCTTGGAGAAGGTTAAAGTGCTGGGGCCAAATGGGTTTTTCGTAGCATTTTTTCAAATCTTTTGGGAGCTTCTAAAGGATTATCTTTTTTTACTCATGGATGAATTTCATTATAGAGGTAAAATCTTGACAATAGTAAGTTCTAACTTTATTGTTTTAATTTCCAAAAAAAATGTCTTAAAGAGTGTGAATGACAATGCCTATTAGCATATTGGGGATTGTCTATAAAATTGTTGCAAAGATTTTGACAAATAGATTGAGAGAAATATTGCATCTGGCTGTGAAAGGTCCTCAGTTTGCTTTTTTTAAATACAAACATATTATAGACAATATCGTAGTGGTACAAGAATGCATACATTCAAGGTTGAAAGAGAAAAAACCAGGTCTTTTATGAAAAATAGATTTTGAAAAGGCATATGACAAAGTTGATTGGCATGTTCTACATGAAATCTTCGGGAAGATGGCTTTTTAATCACGTGGAGAGTGTCGATCCAGGGATGTCGGATGTCAACTCATTTCTCTATCATTTTCAAAAAAAATCTTGTGGTTATTTTAAAGCATCAAGATGCATTCGACAGGGAGATGCTTTGTCCCCATACTTTTGTACTAATGTGACTAAAAGTTTTAGTACTATGCTAAATTATTTGTTGAGTAGATGCTTCATTTTTTAAATTAACGTTGGTAGACTAACAATATCTCATTTACAGTATGCAGATAATACTATAATCTTTTGTAACTCGGAGGAACAAGAAGAAAGGAATTTGTCGATGTTTCTAAAGTGTACGGAAATAACAATAGGTCTTAAAGTGAATTTGGAAAAGACCAATCTAATTGGGATTAGATGTTTAGAAAATTTGGTTGCATCATTGGCTGAAATTTTTTGATGTGGTGTTGGTTAGTTTTCTTACAATTTTTTGGGTATTCCTTTATTTGGAGGGAACCAATCGGTTACCTTATGGGATCCTATTATTAAAAGATTTAATAAGAAGCTGAATCAATGGCCGTATAAAGTATTGCAAATTGGATGAAGATCTACTCTTATCAACTCTACTTTGTTCAATTTACGCATTTACTTATGTCTATTTTCAGAATGTTGAAGCAAGTGTTAATGACTTTGGAAAACATTATGAGATCTTTTTTATTGGGCAATATGGGAATAGGAAAAAAACTGAAACTTGTGAATTAGAAAAATGTATGCACTTCCAAGAGAGTTGGGAGTCTAGAAGTTAAAAATATCAAATTAATGAACACTTGCCTATTGACTAAGTGGTGGTGGCGCTTCAAAACTCCGCAAGATGGTTTATTGGGGGAGGTGTTAAAAGAAAAATATGGAGTAGATGTCTTGACTGACCTCATTAAAAGTCTAAGATCTAAGGTTGATTTTTCAAGTATTTAGAAATGACTTGATGCGTGTCGATCATTATATCTTAGTCATTTTCGCAAAGTAGTTGGAAATGGAGAGGTTTGATAAACGGCTGGGAGACCTTGCTCTTCGATATTCTTTTCTTGAGGTCTTCTCTAAAGTCGCATTTGGCCTTAGTGAAAGATCTCAAAGGGGCTGATTTTGCTAACCCTTCTTGGAATTGTTTGCAGGTACAAGAGGGTCTTAGACCCTTTCTTTCATGAATCCCAAATGTTTATGAATCTATAGCACAATTTTTTTTATGTTCCCAAAAAATATGATCGATTGGTGTGGGAACTCATAGCTTCAGGGGATTTTCAGTTATGTTTGTTTATTGACTACTATATGAGGAGATTCACATATCGATTGATCATAATTTAGCAATACTATGGAATTTGCAGGTGTCGTTAAAGGTTCAGTTATTTTTATGGGTAGCTTTTAAAAAATGTTTGTAACAGAGCTTTCATAATTGTTAATGTTGGTAGGCTCTGTTTGAGGGATAACGAAAATGTGGATTATATTTTTTTTACAGTGTACTTTCACTATAAGCTTGTGGCATTGGTATGGTATTTCTTCTTGACCCTCCTTGTAATCGTTCTAGGGTGAATAAAATTCATAATAACTGATTTTTTTAAAAAAAGTTATTGGTCAAACTGGGCGAATACGTTATTCAAGTAAAGAAACAAGAGAAGATTTGGTTGCACAAAAAGTCTTCCAAACGCCTATAGGCGAAAATGAACAGTGATTTCGTCTACCCTCATCACTGTCAAAAACTCATTGCACGATCACGATTGTCTAGTAATATATTTTTTTTCTACAAATCGGAATGATCTGAAATTTGGAGCGTATGTACATATTTGTGAGACGCACCTAATAAAAATATAAAAAAAATAATTTGTAAAAATAAAATTGACCAAAATTTTCTGGTAAAATATTTTTTTGATATTTTTCTAGATTCGACTAGTTTTTATGAACACACGTTCTAAATTTCAAGTCATTCTGATTTGTAGAAAAATAAAATAAAAAATGAAACACTACCGAACAATTATGACCATGCGATGAACTTTGGACGGTGATGAGGGTAGGCGCAATTACTGTTCATTTTTTCCTATAGGCATATAGAAGTATATATAATAATAATAATCTATACATAATATATAAATATCTTACATTATACTATATATAATATATAATATATATTATTATATTATAAATAATATATTTATTATATTCAATAAATATTATATATAATGTAATAAATAATAATATAAATATTGTAGGACATTGGTCACCATTATTTATAAATAATAATATAATAAATATTATAAGACCCTCCCACACCTATGTGTGTCGGAACGTAAAGTATCGCCACTAAATTTAGTACAAATCTCTAAAAAAGTTAAATTCTATACCCATGTGATAATTTTTATGGATATTTGTGTCAAATTTAATGATGATCTTTTGGGGTCCTATATATATGGGTGTGGGAGGGTCTCATAAGATCATTACTTATATTTGTATGTCTAGGTATTTTATATTATATTATAATAAATATTATATTATATATAACATATAATACAAGAGTAATGATCGTATAGGATCTTCCCCCATCCATGTGTGCAGGACCCCAAAGGATCACCATTAAAGTTGGCTTGGATCTCTAGAAAAACTATTACATGGGTATGAGACTTGACTTTTTTATAGATCCATACCAAATTTAATGGTGATCTTTCGGTGTCCTACACACATGGGTAGGGGAGGGTCCTATCCGATCATTTCTCATAATTACAAATATAGATTAATAAAATATATTATATTATATATTATATTTATATTTATATGGTTAATATTTATATATTATCAAATATATTACCCAAAACTTTCTTAAAATTCCAGCAGGTTTTCAAACATAGTATCCAGAACTTATTTAAGAGTTTCGGAACAAAACATTCAACTTTACATAAAATTTAAAAACATTTAACTTTTCAAAAGATATCTTCCAAAAAAAAAAAAAAAATCGCACCTAAAAAAGGCAGATTGAAAATAATTGAGAAAAGTGAGCTTTTCGTACAACTTCTATAAAATTATAAAATAAGACTCATCGATGTTAAAAAACTGGCCACCCTTCTCCATTCCCACATATAATACATAAAAACAAAAAAACACAAACATAAAATTGCACCCACCGTTAATATACACCAAAAAAAAAATTGTACAATCAATAAAATAAAAGAGAAAATTGCATAGGGACTATTTCCTCCCTCTATTATGAAATGCTCCACATTTTTCAATAATTACGTGGAGACCAGCTCCACCTTGTCGCCCAGTCTTAGTTATAGAATTGCCCACCTGTCTGACATTTCCAACATTGGACAGTTGGAAAATTCCTTTTTAATTTTTTATTTGTTTGAACTAATTCAGATGTTAGAAACACCGAACAACCTTATTTGTTAGGTTGTTTAGTGTTTGTAATGTTAAATGGTCAAAGTTCCTAGGGTTTTTGACTTCAGCAATATTTGAAAGATGGGTTTGAGTAGTGATGGATAGGTCAAAGTTCCTAAGGTTTTTGACTTTAGCGATATTAAAGAGATGGATTTAGGGATTTTTTTTAGATCTTAAGTTGTCAGTATCAGTATTTACGATGCCGGACATACACGATTTAGGAAAAATTCAACTATTTGATATTGGTAACGTCGGACACCTTATGAACTTAGATATTTGGGATGTTTGACATTATAAACACTAGTAAGCCCAAAAATAAGGTGGTTAGGCGTTTTTTATATTAGACACCACTTGAAACAAAGAAAAATATATAAAAATTGGGTAATTTTCCTCTTTCGAATATTGAAAATGTTAGATATGTAGGTACTTTTGAAAAAAAGGACCAGTCGGTGGCGGTGGTCTCTTCATAATTTTTATAAAAATATAGACCCTTTCGTAATAAAGGGGAGAAAAAAGAGTTTATACTTAACTTTTTTACTAAAGGGTATGGTTTGTATAGAGCCTAGGCTCTAAACAATCAAAGTAGAGCCTACCTTCAATTAGTGTCAAGAAATGTGGTTTCAATACGGGAAATCTTTGTGATAGCCTTAAAATATATTTTATATTTATTTATAAAGTTTAAAGCTTTAAAAATAGTGTAGACCAATAGATCTATGAAAACTTAAAAATTGACGGTCTAAAAATGCATTACAAAATACACTATTTTCAAAACTTGAAATATATATATTTTTTATATACTTACATCTTGATATCAAGATGATCAATTTGAAGATATTTCAACATCAAAACAACCTCTTCTGGTGAAATTCTTGAGGTAGGATCGAATTTGATTGTTAGCCTCGGCTTTATATAAGCTTTTCCCTTTACAAAATACTAAATGCTAAGGTGCATCTCATGAACAAAATACTAAATGCTAAGGTGCATCTCATGAACAAAATACTAAATGCTAAGGTGCATCTCATGAGCCTCCAGTAAGTGTAATATAGATATTTCAATTACATGGTCATGTCATATGCAATATGCTGGTGGTGTACAGGATTTTCTTGTACGCCCTGGTGTACAGTGGAGCATATAAATAACACATCGCTGCTAAAATCAGCCGTTCGTTTATCATTGAGGAACGGCTGCGATGAAAATTTCTCTTACTAATAAATCAGCCATTCGTTTATCACTGAGGGATAGCTGAGATGAAACATTCCCTCTCAAAACTGTCCCTTCAATAACTAGAATGAATCACTACTGCTAGCTTGCTACAAATATGCAATCTGCTTCCAATAATCATAGCCATTCAACAGGAATTAAATTTATTTATATATTACAACATTATTTATATTTGATACAAGAAAGTTACAATCATGTGTAACTGTTAAATGTGAAATGTAAAAGCTTAAGGTGGTCGAGAAGATCTTTAAGGACTCCAAGCTTAGATTATTGCATAAGTCCGGTTACATAAGTGGTGAGAATAGTATATGATGCAAAAGTTGAAAAAAACGGGTTCAAATTATTGAAATTAGGATTGTGTCCGTTAGTCGGTGAGAGGTTTAGTCCAATCCAAATTATTATGACTCAATTGAATTTATTGGAAAAGATATTTTTTAAAATTAAATATATCAATAATAGTCTAAAAATATAAAATATATTTTTAAGACTCGTAAAAGTTTTAACAAGATGTCAACCTCATGATGTAAAAGTGAGACACACCTAAAAAACCCATTGGAAAGGTCGCTAAGCTGCCAAAAAACTCTTCAATTGGTCATCTCAAATTCAAGATGTCGTATATGAGGAGAAAAATCAAATTCAAATCTTAAAAATAATGCATTATACAATATATTATCTCGACCTCCAAGTTTTATGATTTAGAAGCCTTTATATTTAAGCTAGCTATGCACTATTTGTGGGTATCAAACTTTCATAATCAGGGGTGAAAATTGATTTTGAGGTCATCTTAGAAGTTTTCTAACACTTAAATTGAATGTTTTGACAAGAATTTTTAGATATACTATTTAATCAATCCAACCATTGAAAACCCACTAGTTAAACATAAAATAAAATAAAATAAGCTAAAACAACATACGGTTTGGACCGGGCAGTCCGGTCCAATCTTGTTGATTAATGTGGTCCGCACCGAAAATAGGGAACTCCACTTTGGATTAGATGGTGAAGATTGTATGGATGCACCGCAACCGGTGCGTTGGTGCACCGAATCCGGGTCCAAGCCATAAACAGGGAGTTCTACATCTATTACAATAACATGCAATTTGGAAAGCTATATGGTAATTGTATTCCGGTGGATGTTCAGTTGCTTTTGTTGTTAGGGAACTGTAAATTGTTTCTCGATTGTCAAGGGCCAAAATTTTTTTTTTTTCTTTCACTGATTATGGCGATGGATATGGTTTCGAAATCTGCAAATTCGAGGAGGGATATCAACTGTAACTTCCTCCCAATGGATATTGCCCTCCATATAGCTTCTCTACTCCAGGTATCATAATTGAAATTTTGGCTTTTTTTTTTGCCTTTTCCCGTAATCTGGTTTGGATGCATACACTTTGTTATTCATCTCTCGATCAATTGTTTATCATGTTGCTTTCTTTGATTGATACGTCGATATCAGAGTAAAGATGAAGATTGGGTTGCTATGTCCATCAATACAGCTGTTGGGTTTCTCGGATTTTTTTTTTAGTTCAAATTTCAGAAAGGTCTTTTTTTTTTTTTTTGCACCTTGATGCTCTCTCTTTGATTATTGAATTTTTTGCAGATTTCAGACCTCTGTTCACTGGGTTCATCATGTCGATTTTGGCGCAATTTGTGTGCATCTGATTGTATGTGGCATGCTCTTTTAAGGGAAAGATGGTCTGTTGTCATGGAAGAGGAAAATAACAACGCAGAGATCCATAGAAATGATGTAACAGCCTTATTACTAACTCTGATTGTTTTTCTTTTGCTATGGTTTGGAGTTTAGGTTGTTGTTTGACTTCCTGTTGTGAATTGGTAGTAGTGGCGTGGTAATTTGTCTTGTTGGGTGAATCATTATCGGGTTATTGTCTTGAAATCATTGCTTCTGCATCTCTATTTTTTATTGTGATCAACAAGTCTTTGTAGTCAAATCATCTCTTTATTTTTTTTATTGATTGTACGTGTTGTGTTGATCGTGTGTTAACCAGTCACTCAATTTGGGTCATTCATGTTTAGTTTGAGCATTGCAGTTCAGAATTCTTCTTATTTCTTTGGTTTTAATTCGCCCATCATGTGGATTTTTTCCCAGTCTTTAAAAGCTCAAAAGGTTGACCTCTGGTGTATGCTATCAGTCTAATGTTTAGTAACTATGTGCTAGTTGGCTAAGCCATAATGCATATCATGATGCCAACCAGCGCTATATTCTTCTCGTTCAAGATCTTCCACATTGTTTAGGAGTTCCTGATGGAGAAGAAAAATACAAGCAAATGCATGAGAGAGAGACATTATTGTTTATGCAAGGATGCTAAAATCGACTTCTCAAACTGCTGTCCAGTTATTTTGAAGTCATCAAATTTTTTCTTCCAGCTTTTGATATGTAATCCTTTATGCTGGTGGTACATTAAACAACATTCTAATGGTTATTCAGATTATCAGCTTTATATTGTGCTATTAATATATTCAGTTTTTCTGGTTTCCTTATAAACTCATCTTTTGTGTTTTTTGGATTGTTTTTCATTACTCCCCTGCTGATTATTTATGCCATAAACATATAAGGCTTCATTTTTCAGTACTTAGATTTTTTGAACCCAAGTGGCATTCTGTTTGTCTTTTCAAACTCTTCCGCAAATCAGCACATTTATTGTTATTGTTGCTTTGTCAGATTATTCAACAATCATCCATGTTTCATTGATAATTAAACATTGTAGGTCCATGATTGAGTAAATTTGTGCACTACTTTCATTGTGTCATTACTAGTCAATTACTCAGTTCACTTTTGTGACGTAAATGCAACCGAGGAGCTAGTTTTTCCACATTTTCAGTAATCATACCTAGAACAACACTTAATGCCACCAGATAAGTGATGTTTAGAGGATGTGATTGATGACCCAAGAATCAATTTAGGGGCATCAAATGATATTTTGGAATCTATTACCAAGACACATTTGTGGGGGTGTTCATGTGTGAGCCAAATGAATTGTTGATAATTGATAGTGTTGTTATTACATTTGGTCATTATAAATAATGATGGATCCTCTACATATGTCTATGAAGGTATGGAGGAGTATCTACATCAAGAGGCACAAGGAGATGGCCTGCAGAGCGGTCAGTGTAATTGAGTTTGTGAAACAAAGATCACAATATGAATCACTTGAAATTGGTGATTATTTGGGAGCGAGCGAAATGCTGTTTACCCTGGGATTTGGCTTCAAGGATGTCCAGCTTATCTTGTTGACAACAAAGCACAGTGTGCTACTAAATCTGATAGGACTTCATTATTTGTTATTTCGGCTCAACATAGAGGTAAATCATGTTCATAAAGCATTTATTTTTTTTCCTTTTCTTTTTTGTTATATTTGGGGATCCAATCTCATGCCCCCATTTCATACCTAGTAAGAATCCATTAAAACCATATACCTGCAGTAGTTTTGAACTTTTCTAGGATATACAGACTTCATTCATTTTGTTGGTTCTTTCTTTTTATCCTTTATCTGTGAGCATCCATAATCCATATGATGGCAAACCAATGGCTGAGCCAATGAGCTAGATGCCAATGGGTCTGACCCATTTACTTTGGTGTAATTGTGTTTGTAGTTCTTGTTCTTCTAGTTACTTGTTTAAATGATATGTATGGAAGTAGTGCTTTTCTATAATTCAATAGTCTTTGTTGGTAGCTTTTTTAGTACGAATCCTGTGGATAGATATTGAGGAGCTTCAGTTTTAAACTCCAATTCATTAATGACCCAATTTCTTATGGTACTGTGGCAGTGCTCAGCTATGTCGTTTGATTGAAGTTCGTTTTTTTTTGTGTTGAATTTCTTTTGATTCTGCCCACCTGTTGTTAATGCATTATCACACATTTTCATCATCTGTCTATTTGTCCCCTATTTCTCCATGTGTTTTTTTTTTTGAGAAAGTTATATTTCTCCAAATGTTCTCCTCAAAGATTTTCATCTCTAACCCTTGGTTTTCTTAAGCCAAGATATCTAACACGGGAGTGTAACCCTTGGTTTTCCTATATTCTTTAAGGCCAAGATATCTGGCATGAAGGGGCCTCTCTGTCATGATTTGGCCTTGCAAGCTCTAATGTTCTCTCCTTGCTGGATGACATGTTTCCTGAATCATCACTTGGATCTCTTTTTATATAATTCTGCAGAATACATTATGACAGTGAAGATGTCATGTTTGAACTTCATCTTTGTAGTTGTGGGCTGATTCTTTCTCTTCTGTAGTCTTTGTAGTTGTGGGCCGATTCTTTCTCTTCTCTTGTTTTTTAGCGTATGCTTATTCTAGAACATGGAACCTTTTAATAGCCATAATTGGTTGATGGAGAGTATCACCGACGAACGAAATAGTTGTTATGACACTAAATTGAGGAAAAAAAATAGTAAAAGAAGCTCTCTCTCTCTCTCTCTCTCTCTCTCTCTCACACACACACACACACACACACACACACGAAATTTTTCTGTCATCCTGCAGTATTCTATCTATAGCAACACATATATGAATCTTAATGATAACACATCCTTCTATTTTGATCTGCAGAACGTTGCAGATTTACAAGATGTCAATATTCAGAATGAATAATTTTGTTCTTTTTGGTTTATCATGATTTTCGATTAATCAGACATGACAGTATTGTGCATGATAAAGCTTCAAGAGGGACACGAGGAAACAGATCTAATATTGCATTTCTCAGAATTCTATAGTTAGGGATTTAGCCCTTTCTTCTGTCATATGATTTCCTTCAATGATTGATAATCAAAAGTAGTAGAAAAACCATGAAAGAAGTACTAGGAACTTATTATAATTCACCAATTATAACTAACCAAATCATCATTTGATACTTCTTGTACAGCCTGAGAGGATAACTAGAGCTCTCTGTGGTTGCCGGGTGTCAGAGAGGCAAGTTTGTATAAGATGGTGGAAGCTAGGGCAGTGGTCTCATGGTTTTCGCAGGTGCGATGAGATGCATGTGCGCAGATCATCACTTGGGGAGCTTTTCAAGCCTGAGAAGAGCGAAATTCTGTCCATGCTGTATCGAGGTGTCATTCATGAAGTGCTTAGGGTTCAGATCTCAGCAGACTTTGGAACAAGTGCATGGGCACGCCGTGATATGCATTCACAAAGATGAATATGTCTCATATGGCCTTGGTTGTGTATATAGGTTCTTGCATGTATTTGTGGTTGCGTATGTATGTGTAACTATGGATTTATGTATACGTATGGAACTATCCACGTGTTTCTGCATGTGCATGTGTATGTATATAATTATCTCATGTATATAATATGTATGCCTATACATGTATATTTTGAGGACCTTAATGTTACCTGATGCATGAGGCAATCTTGTGCAGACGTGGCATATGCCTTTTGTAATCTTGTAATATTCTATTGTTTGCTGACAATGTATATATGTTAATCATAACAAAGTTATTTATGCTTATTTGATTTTATTCAAGTGTTGGTTGTCTTTCTTGATGTATTTTCTTCCATTTAACGACCTTTTGATTGTTGAAGATGTAATTGAAAAATTAAAGACGCGTGATTTTTTCTTGCTTGTTGAGGTGATTTAATTTAGAGCAAAAATGGCACTGGCAATTAAAAGGAGTGCCTTGTGGTTCGCCTGACTTCTTTCCAATTGGAATACTAATACATATGAGTTCCAGCCCGTTTATATAGTCTTGTTCTGCATCATTCTACTGAGTGAGTGAGAGAGAGAGAGAGCACTGATATCCCACTAAATAATATTTCTTTTTTACCAAGAAAAAGTTTCCAAGGTGCGGTGCTTTTCCCAGTAAATATATTGAAGGACCATTCAGCAGCAATATGCTCTCTTTTTTTTTTGTAGAGATTGATAGAGCACTGGCATCCATTATGATATCTGATCCTAATAATCATTCAGCGGGAATATGCTCTTTTTGCTAGAGATCCATTTATGCTGTAGACCAAGGAGTGTCCATAACCTCTCTGTCCACAATGATGTTGCGAGGAGAATTCACGTTCATTTATTGGGCTTCTTTCTTTTGTAAATTCATCATACTTGTGTAAACCTTCCATTTGTCTGGCGGTAGAGTTGGTCTTTATCTCTGCTTGCTTCAGAAAGCTTGCCTTCATAGATTTAGGCAGACTTCCTTGAACTTTCAGCGCAGGCAATAGCACACAACAGCTGCCAGATTTTGCATCTGCCAACTAAAAGTTATGTAGTTGTTCATCCTCAGTGAAGATTCTCCTACTTCTTCTACCTCTTTTGTCGTTCTTCAGCATAGACCAGCTTTTATCTTTCATGTGATAAAGTGGGGTTATGTAGTCCCTTAGTAGTATGCAATAGTGTTTTAAGCGATCCATCCAATTCCGTCCTTTCGTTTTTTTTTTTTAGTATTTTTTTGTGGGTTGTGTTTATATTTGATCTTTTTGGTTATTGCTGGGCTTGGGGAAGATGAGAGAGAGATAGAGAGCAAAAAGAGAGGCATGGAGAGAGATATGGTCTACCTATCTCTAAAGCGCAAACGCTATAGAGATGGTTCCTCGATATCTCTCCCTGCGTTGATCATTCCACGTTTTTTTTTGCTCTCTTCTCTGTTCGAGAGACGCTAATAAGGTTTCACCATGCAGAGGCCATCCAGCATTCCTACAAGGAACAAATCCATCTCCCTTGAAGAATGACAAGAAGTGGAGGTAGACCAATGTGCGTACCAGCAGTACCAAGAACCCCAAGAAAAACAACAAAAACCCTCAAGACCTCAAAATCAAAGAGAAAAAATCCATCTCTCTTAATAAGAAAAACCAAAGAGAAACACATCTCTCTTAAAAAGAATTCACGATGGATATATACCTGCTTTTGCCGATTAATTTTCGTTTAACCCTCTATTCTATTGTCAACTTGCACGTATGGAATTCAAAACGTATTTCACATTGCAACTGTATGCTCTCAAAATCACATGGTCGTTTATAATGATCACTTATTATATATCATACATTGTCGTGTTGTATATAATGGTTGCTTATCGGATATCTCGGGTTAATAATCCATGAAAATGGAGAGATTGAGGAAGATGTGCATAAAATTAGAGCTGGGTGGGCAAAGTGGAAATATGAAACCAGAGTTTTGTGTGATCGCCGCATACCAATGAAGCTGAAGGGCAAGTTCTATAGGACTCATGTGAGACCAATTTTGCTTTACATGGTAAAGTGTTGGACAGTCAAAAAACAACATATCCTTAAAAGATACAAGAATGTTGAGATGAATCTGTGGCAAGACAAGAAGCTATAGAATTCGAAAAGAATAGCATCAATATGCGATAAGATGAGAAAAGGTAAACTTAGGTGGGCTATTCAGGTGCTACGCAGACCCATTATAACATCCATTAAGAGGTGCGAGTTAGTTCAAGTGGAAGGCTCAAAAAAAGCAAGAGGTAGGCTCAAGAGGACATGATTGAAACTAATGAGAAAATATATGGCGGCTTAAGTATGACCCTTAATAGAGCAAAATGACGAACCAAAATTCGTATAATCAACGTCAATTAGTTAAGAAAGGGCTCCGATGATAATGATAATTAGGATAATCTCAAATTGTATATTTATGTGATTATTTGGATAAGTGCTCTTTGCATTTCTACCTACTATCCATTGCTCGCATATTTACGCGATCCTTATTTCATTCTACATGCAACACGTATAATCGAACAAGTGATACGGCAAGCGATCCATGCCAAGAGACCAAATCCCTCTCCTTTTACCTTCCTAACTGAACAATACTAGTTACTTGCACATTACAAAATAATGATCCAAAAAGCTTGGGGAATTGTGCTTTATCTTAGACAAACAAAGAGGAGATGGCCCTACCATTATGCCTTTGCCTTTCTTTACTAACCTTCAACCCCACTCATTCACAGAAACGAGAGATTTCCCGATTTACAATGCGATCTATGAAGAAAACATATACTTCCTTCTCGTGTCTGTAACACTCATAAGGGAACATGACAACCATTTTACCATGGTATTGCATTACTATCCATAGATTTCGATTTCAGCTTTTCAATTCAAATAGAGCCTAAAATAATTTTGAATGTAATGCCATTTGAGGTCTAATAGCTGATTATTTCATTCTATTGGGTGAGTATGTGCAAATGTGTGAAAGTTAAAATAGGAAAAATATCATAAAAGGGTTAAAACCTCTTAAATATCACTAAAGGGATTAAAAAATCACAAATTACACTTGAGAGGATGCTTTTAAATTTCTATATCAAATAGGTCATTATTATTATCATCTAAGTATTTTTCCCACTATTTGGGTCAATTATATGAAATTTTGTCCACCATTATGTTCTATAAGGGTCATAGCTTCAGTGAGAACATAAGTCCTCCTATCTTTTCTCACTGCTTCTAACCATGTTTTTTTTGGGCCTATTAACTCTTTTTTTAACTTCTAATTGAATTCTATATCAAATAAGTACGTCTTAAAAACATATATGAAAAAATTCTTAGATCACCCATTTTCAATGTTGGGAAGCAAGACTAATTAGAGGTACTTTGACAATTCTATCCTCATTGTTAAGGCATCTTTAGGAGCCAATCAAAGTACTTAGGTTTCCCAACATCGAATAGGGGTAATTTGGAATTTTTTAAATATTCATTTGAAGATGTACCTAATTGATATAAAAATTTGAAAGTATCCCTTTAGCAATGTTGTGGGGGGTTTCAACCCCTTTATCTATATTTTCCATGAAAAAAAAAGAAAAAGGGGTAGATGAGCCTGCTTGGGCTTTTTGGAAAAACTTCAACCATTGACGTCCCTGGTCAAGTCAATATGTGTAGTGAAGCGAAGCCTAGAGATACATAAAAGTTCCCTCTTCATGAGAAGGCAGTCTTTATGAAACCTATAAAATTATTCTTGTAAGCGACGAAAATCATTTGCAGCCCCATTCAATTTACGAACTTTTACTGCTCAAATGGTAATGCAATAAACGATTCAATAAGTTGATGTAAATCACGATCATTTACCATTTATTCCCGAGAAACATTCCCAAAGAAGTAACAGAGACATAGAGATGACATCCCTTGAAACTACAATCATTCATCTCGATGCCACCAATCAGCTACAAAATTTATTCAGATCGAAGGCTTTGTTGCTACAATTATCTATAGAAATCATCATTCATTGTAGCAAATTATTTGACAAACCTGTAAAAACGAAGGATCAAAGAGAACGGCAGGCAACAACAACATATCGTCGAGGAGGCGGCCAGCAGATTGCCATCAGCACCAACGCAATCACCACCACAACCATAAACCCCATAACATTAGGCTCCTCCTCCTCAGGGCAGCAGCAAATCCCCATGTTTAAGAAAGAGAGAAAGAATGTGTGTGTGTTTTGTTTGCTAACACAGAATATTAGCAAAACTAACATCCAATGTAAATATGGAAGAAAGAGTTGATAGGGACCACCGACGTCATTCTTAAATATTTAAGGCTTGAAATATTTCCAAGTGCGTAAGGTGGCTATTTTCCATAGGGTTTGGCAAACCACACAACACGGCTGCAGTACTCAATACCAACTCCCTAATCATTCCTGTTTACAAACCAATAAAAAAATAAATAACTGTTTACAAACTAATAAATAAATAAATAATACGGTTTACGAATACGGTTTGTATATGGTTCCAACCTTAAACAATCAAAGTTCAAAACAGTTCCAAAGAAAGATTCCTAGGTCGTAAAAAGACAGTATACTCTTCCTAGGTCGTAAAAAGGCATAGCACACTCACATGTTTATAGATCTCTCGAGAAAATCGGTGTCACACCTCTCTCTCTCTCTCACTCACTCTCATCCCCATTTTAGGTAGGGTGATTTAAAATTCCAAGCAATGTAGATCGGCTGAATGGGGCGATCCAAATTCGCCAAATGACAATCCAGCCAAAAAATAAAAAAATAAGAACCATTATTTGCAACCTCGCTCGATCCAACTCATAACCGACCAGTCAAACCGGAACCAGGCACTAGCCCATCAGGTTTTGGCTAGTTTTGGTGGTTCGATTGGGTATTTTAAAAAATAATTATATAAAATCTCCAAAAATAAAGAATTTATTTGTAATGTGTTTTTTAATGTTTTTTATAATTTTGACAAAGATCTGAAAGTGCTTTGGCCATGAATACTTATTTTTACATTTTTTTAAAAAAAAATTCAAAAATATCTCTAAACACAAATCGATTTTTTAAAATGCATTTTTTCAGTAATTTTTAACTTCATTTGGATGTATTTCTTTTAATCATACTTTACAAATACTTTTCATTTTTTTTTAGATTTTTTGTATTTTTATTTTATTTTTTTAACACTTTTTGGACCGGTCAGGACCTACCGTTGAACCAGCCAGTTCAACAGTTATTCGGAAGCAAATTTACATATGACTCACCTACAAAGGAATTTGAAAAATTAATACACGCCATTGGAAATTTACATAAAATTTGAAAAATTAATACACACCATTTCCAATGGCTCATCAATGAATCAAACAAAACTGTTCATAGAGCACAAAATTCTAAGACCCGGTGTTGGTGAAACACTTTCGACCATCTGAAAGAGAGTGAATTTATGAAACCGTATTATCAAAACAAAGAAACTTTAGTCCATGCATAAATTGAAGAAAGAAATTACATGACGCCATGCCTATTCTGACAGTCCAAGGAACTTTGCAAAGCTTTCATATTTTGGCTGCCACCCGAGCTCAGCACGAGTCTTCGAGTTATCCAACCTCTTGCCTAAAGGACCATCGGTTCCTGTATTAGAAATCACATGATAATGAGTTTTCAAAGTATTAGACAAAAGCCCTATTGCATTCAAATATGTAAATCTTTAACTGACCAACAAAACCCAAGAACTTTTTGCTGAACTTCCCACTTTTGTTTACATAGTCCATTAATTCTTGACTGCATAAACACAAAAAGGAATATGCAATCAGGTCAGTATGGGCTTTATCTAAATAGGAGAAACAGAAAATTTGAAAAAAAAAAAAAGAGAGGAAAAATAATGGGCCAATAAACAGAGATGTATTTGATGTTGAGTCAAAGCATATTATCCGAATAACAGCTGCCTTGCTTTGAAAATTAAAATAGAGGAGGATTAGTAACATACAATTTGGTTTGAAAACTAGTACAAAAAAATTGATTTTTAAATTAAGTCTCAGGCACTAATTTTCAGGAAACCACCATTTATCATTTCTCCATGCGAATTCAGGTCTCTCTCTCTCTCTCTCACACACACACACACACACGGCACACACACACACACAAGCATGTACTCATGCACACACACACAAATATTCATGTAAATTTAAAGGATATAGATGCTTCTTTGTCAAATATTGGGATTCTTTTATGATGATTTGTGGCACTTTCAAAAGGAACTACTTGTTGTACTTTGCTAAATCATCTCAAAGAAAAGAAAATGAAATAACATGCCAGAGTTCTAGTCGACATTATGCCTTCGAAAGAAATCTCTCTAAGAGGAAATACACCAAAATACCTAGATAGAGGGTGACTGTCGCAGCCCAAGAAGATCCGTCCCCTCAGCTTCTTCTTCAAAATTGCAACCGAGAGGGATGCTGCATCCTGTCATGCAACAGTATCAGAACATGCTTCCAGTTAATCAGCAAGGTTATCCAGTGTAACCCCTAAAGAATAGGTATACTGGAAAGAAATAATGAAGGGAAATTTCTATACTGCCCCATTCACATATACCATTTCACAGAACAAGGAAACTAATTCATGCGCAGGGGTGCACAAAACACACACAACTGGCTCAACTAATAAGATTTGTAGAAACAAGGGTTTGTATGCTTACCACTCAACTACCCAATTAAATAAAATAGGTATTCGGTCAGCAACTCTAGAAACACCAGTGCACTCATGTCATTGATTTTAGAACATGAGGTGGTTACTTTTGTTATTTAACCAGAATTTATTTGAATATATAAAAGATAAACCAAACCAAATTTCCAATTTCTTTAACCAGCAGTATTTGGGTATACACTTTTAAGACTAATGCCATTTTGCAGCAGTTTTTTGTTCTAACAGTCGGTGCCACTCTGTCGATTCACAGTAATAAAATGAGACATGTAAAGTCAAGCAGGATGCTCAACCTAAAACAAGTTCTATATATGAATGCTTGGCCAGAAAGAAGAAGGTTCGATTCAGATATATTCATTAGTAGAAACCAGATAACTCGGAAAAAAAAAAAGGAGAGAGAGAGAGAAGGATGCAAATCTTATAAAGAACAAGAGAAGATGCTGGAAGTACACCTCATAGTGAATTAGGTTAAGCACGTAATCCGGGCGAGTCTCAACCGTGCCTTTCTTCAACCAGTATATGTGTGCACCTCTATCTGATTTGTATAAATGGTTAAGGGTCCTACTAAAACTTTTGTTGCATCTTCACATAAATGTGCTCTGTGATCCCTTATGGGGTGAAAAAAAAAAGACAGCAAAGAAAATGATGAAGGGATCCTTCCAATGCCATATGCAGCTTCTAACACCCAATCTCCAGAAGGAGGCCAATTCAAACGCTCCTTTGAGTGAAAAAAAAAGAAAAAAGAAAAAGATGAAGGATATATAAAGCCCAGCCAATCTAAGAACACATCCGCCAGCCTCCAATACAGCACTTTCTGCTTTCAAAAGAACATCTGTCCCAGGGCTCCTTCCAATCGGCACAACCGGGGAGTCCTACAAATCCCAAAGTTCAAAATCTCACCCTATAATATCATGTGAAAAAATATGCAAACACTGAAATTTTTGGCAGAGGCAATTAATTCAGAGAGACCAACCAATGTAGTTGGCTAATGTAAAAAAGAAAGGAAGAGTGCAAATATCTGGTCACTTGGATTAACATGTTTCACATTTTGAATAGTCTAAGTTGCATTAACCATGAAAATAGTATACCAGCCATATATCAGAAAAGTACATTCCAACATTCTGAAGTTCCCACCAGCCATATTGTTGCCACTATGGGTAAGTATCTATTAAGAATTGCTATTAAAAATGTGATCACTACCATAGTGAATACAGATTACCACCTCTGCATGTCAAATGGTAACAAATATGAAAAAAACCTGAGTTTTTCTAAGAAGACAAGTTCTGTAGATTACTAAAAGTTATGACCAGCCAGGGGCCAGTTCCTCAGAAGAAGAAAAGCAAACTGGACAAACCAACAACTAATAGAGAAAGACAATAATGAATCAAGGCAACTGTTCACTCTGCTATCAAGGTTAAACCGGACAGTTTAGGAAGATCTCCAACATGTAGATAAAGGTAGTCTATACCTCATTGCAAAATCCATTGTCATCACAAGCATAAGGAGACGAGCTCGATGTGAATAAGAATGCACCTTTCCCATTCCAGTATGATGTAGCCAATCTGCACCCAAGTTATAATTGCTCAAAAGCAAACTTCTCTCATCGTAATGGAGATTGGGCCTTTCAATATAAAGATAACTACTTGCAAACCAGATAAATTAATGGAAGTTAAGAAACACAGTACAAATATTCTTGGTTGAGATGAATGAGGAGGAATAAAAAAGGAAAAAGGAGACCAGACACTACAACATAACCTCTAAAAGAAATTAAGTATCAGAAAAAAGAAATATTGAACAAAATTTCAAGCCAATCCAACGATTCCTCAAATTTACAAGTCTAAAGCCAGGCAGAAAAGCATATCATAGCATAATATTTATGTTTTAGTCAACTCTTTCCTCAAGCATGTCACTGACCTGAATCTAAATGAAAGCAATGAATGATAAACTAAAAAAACGCATCACAAGAACTAAGGCAACTACAGAAACATCAGCATACATAGAAGAGCTGTAGTATCAACCAATGTTATCAAATTCGCTTCGCTTTGGCCGAAGCTTTCGGACTTTGAGCATAAGCTGAAGCGAAGAGAAGCGTGGTGTTGCCGCTTCGGCCAGATTCGGGCCGCTTCGGCCGGCTTCAATCTGCTTCGGGTCTGATTCAGCCGAAGCTTCGGGCTGCTTAGGTCAGAAGAGAAATACCTATATAATTTTTTTTTTTAAATAAAAAATTTCATATATTATATATAAATATCTAATTTATTTATATTAAATTAAAAAAAATCCAAAGCCTTCCCCTGAATCGGCCAAAGCACCGAATTGCTTCATTTTTCGCACCAAACCGAAGAAGACTCCGAAGTTAATCTGACAACATTGGTATCAACAGCCAAGGATATCAGCCAGGCATGTTCGCAATTGTAAAATTCTTTGAACAAAAAATTGGCCATTTATGACCATAATATAGTTCGAGACAATACCATATTTAACTGATTGCAGAATCTAGTCACAAAGAAAAAAAAAAAAAAATTAAAGAAATTACTTACAAAATATATGAAAGAAAGACTCCAGAATGCAACAGGATAAGACCAGAACATTATCCTTTTACAATAAAAAGAGCATTTCCTATTCCAAAAGAAAGATTTTGTTGAAAGTGAGGACATTTGATGCCATGGAATCAATCACATGGACAGCAGGGTCCTGTATCTCTAAATATCAGGGATTAACTACAGTACAGCCATTCACGGCCCACCAAGGTGGATTTCACAGGATTGGATCTTTGAATGTTCTTTTCAGTGATATTGGGGTGTCTATTCTTGTGCTCGATTCAAAATTTGGGTACTATTTTTAATGACTCTTACCTGGTCCATCATATAAACAACATGGACAAATACAACCAAGTGTCTTGGTGGGGCAAATTTGAGTGCTCATGATTTTCATAGCCATATGCCCATTTATTTCATCAATATCAGGTAGGGATTCACCTAAACCAAGAGACGTCACTCCCAAAGAAAACAAAGAATGAAGCACAATTCTCTTAAGAATGATATCCTTGGCAGTAAATTTGACCTACCTGAATCCAATCAAATTTTAAAAAACCCATGTCTTGCACCAAGCACTTAAAATGCCATGCTCACCTTACTTCACCAGGGTAGTCAACATTTGGCCCAGGTGGTGCGCAAAAGATAACATAAGGAAACTGACTAGAGACTTGTGAACCCTTCAAACATGGATGGATCCCAAGTTTGAGTAACTCTTCATGATGATTCAAAGTCATTGTCTGCCCATAAATTTTGCAACCTGGATTTTCCTGTTTAAAAGGAAAAAATAAAAATAAAAAAGTCAAAACATCATTGCTGACTCGATAAGGAAATGTTTACAGCTTGAGCATTTTAAACAAATGCAAATGCCAGATGAAAAAAGGGCAATAGAAAAAATATTTGATATATTAGCGTCGGATCATTTACTTCAATAAACTTCTGAGGATTATGCAGCTACCCCACCCACAGAGTCACCCTCTCCACCAAAATAAAATAAAATAAAATAAAAAAAGCAAAAGCTCAAAGGAAATTATTCTGAATAAACACTCCATGAAAATCGAAAGTTCAAACTTAGGAGATCAACATTTTTCATTGAAATTTCCAAGATGTCCTCCAAGTATCAGCATTAACCATCCATTTGGCCATTCAATGATTGAAAACGGTTAAAATAAGAATAGCATATTTGTGTATTTTCCAAAACATACTTCACACCAACTGTTTTAAAAGAACGTATACCATCTTCCTTAATGTGCATATGTGTATCAGATATTGATTTCTTTCACTTTTTATTAAATATTGGGAAAGCATGTCATGGAGGGAAACCTAAAGAATCAATTAAAAGCAGTACCTGTCTCCATTTTTCTGCCACAATCCGACCAAGAACGCCTGGCCCAACAATTAGCATATCCTTTTCCCCAACAAAGCCTGAAGGAGATGCCTCTAAACCTTCACTACGTGGTGTATCTGTAACTATAAAAAACAAATAACTTTTAACATTGTTCTATATCAATGATATATCCCAGGTCTCATAAATACTAAGTTTGAGTAATGTTAGGCTTTTGGTTAGCTATCCTATGGAGAAAAGTTCTGAATTCTCTGCTGATTTTTACACAAATAGAAACTGTGACATGTTTCAATAATTGAATATAAACTTTTTATAAATGCATTGATATGGGTATCAAAAGATCTGTATTCAGACCCATCTTGGATGGCCTGAGTAACCATTTGCATAATTCATTAAAGGAGCAATTCAAAAAGTCCACAGAAAAGACACTCTGCAAATATTATAATCATACAACATAAAAGGCTATCACAACGGCAAAAACCAAAGCATTAACCACAAATGAAAGACAAGTTGCAAGGAGTGGATGCAAGAGAGATGGAGATTTTGTTGTGAAACAGAAAAATTCAACTAAGGCTTTTGAATCATAAGTTTCGCCAAAGAATTAGAAACTTTCACCCAGATAAACATGAAAGATGAATGAGTAAAGAATCATCCTAAGAATAGCCAATGAGTGCAAGAGCATGCAGGGAATAAAGTATCACAATTTACAAAACACATCAGAAATCAATACAAAGCAGTGGAAATCTCAAAAATAAAGCCCAGCACAGACCAAATTTACAGAAAATCTCCACCTAACAATGACATAATAAAAAAGACAGATATCTGATGCAAATAAAATAAAAATAAGTCCATAGCATTTTGAAGGACACAGTGGCTTGAGAACCCTTCAATTTTGATCAAGACACCTCAAATTCTAATTAGATTTACAATAAAAGCTATAACATTAAACTTGAATAAAAACCAGCCATGAAAGACTAAAAAAAAAAACCCAAAAGTAATTCTCAATCACAGAAAACTTGTAAACATCTAAATTTGTAAAGGTACAACTAAAATTCAATCGCGGAACAAGGAGAAAATGCGAAAAGAAAAAACAAAAATTAATGTAATTCTTGCATTTGCATGTATCAGAAATGAAATTTAGCAGACTCAGAGGAATTGCATCCACCGCAATAGAAAATTAATCAAAAAAACAAACAAAAGCCAAAAAAACGTGAACCAAAATGATGGGTAACTAACCAGTGGGTGAAGATGAAGAACGAATGGACATATCCATGGTGATTCTTCCTGGTCTAATGTGCTTTTTAGGGCTTTGAAGGTAGAAATTGTTAAGGATATTGAGAGGAGGAGAGAAATGGAGGAGGAATGAAGGGTGGAAGGTGGGTTGCTGCCAACCAATTCTTAGGGTACGAGGAAGTCCTACGCATAGTGTGTTTAGAGGGCAGGGGATGATATCCATTGGCCCTCACCTCTCTGCCTCTCACTTTCTTGCCACTTTGCGACTACCCATAAACATGGGCTCACTGGATTGGTGGTCCACCTACCAAAACGTCCAAATGGACTGCAATTCCTAAAGATAAATCCCCGTATTTTTAGAAGGAAAAAGTTTATATAAGGATGCAATGGATGCCCCTAAAAAATTCATCACAAAAGGTAATTTTAATGTTGAAAAACACTTTGATTGATCATCTCGACATCGAGAGATATACGACTGTGAAAAATAAAAAAAATTTAAGTCTCATTCATAAATAGTTCATTTTACAACATATTGTCTACACCATCCATTTTCAATATTTTCATTTTAAGTCTAAAAAATAGTACATTTTACAACTGTTCATTTTCAAGATTTTTATATGTTTATAGATCTACTTTATTTTAACCATTTTTTAAATTTAAAATTTTATAATTAAATATAAAAATAGATTGTGAGATAATCCTAATAATATTTTACATCAAAATTATATACCACGATAAAATTTGAAAGGTGCACCTTACCTCTACACCTACAAATGCATCTTGTATGCGAACTGCACCCTTTTTAGAAAGTAATATCTAATTTTAAAAAATGGGAAAGGTTTCTATACTTCTCCTACAGCATAGAAGATCTATGATTCCCCTGCCATCCAGCAGTCCAATTTTGATCAAGACAGCCACTCCTCGTTTGATCTTAGATCCAACGTCTCAAAGTATTTTATTTTTAGTTTTCTTTAATACAATTTGTATGAATATGAAATTTGGTACGTGTCAGCTTCTCATTGGGGCACACTTATAAAAAATATTAAAAATAATTTTTCAATAAAACATAATGACCAAAATACCCTATGAATCTTTCAGGGGTATTTTGGTTATTTTATTTTATTGAAAATATTTTTTTAATATTTTTCGCTAGTACGAGTTTAAATAGAGGATTGAACATCCAAAATTTGGTGTCAAAATAGTTTATAGAAAAAAATTAAAAATAAAATAATGTAGAGACGTGACATTGTGATTGGGGGAATCTTAGCCCTCCATTCAGAATGGACGGTTGGATAAGGAGAAGTATATAAGTTTTATGTTGTAGGGGAAACATAAAAAGCTTGCCCTTAAAAAATTTACGTAAGTTCTTACTGGGATTTGGGTTAATAGATAGTAGTGGCAACTGGTCGGGTCGTATCTAGGCGGTCGACCGAAAAATCAATTTTATATATTACTCAGAAAACAAAGATGGGGACTACCTTGAGACCCGAATCGGATCCAAGCAATTTGACCTAGACCCGACCCTTCGGGTCCAACCCCTCGACCCATACCCCGACCTGGGTTGGGTCTACCGGTTGGGTCGTGAGCCCACAAGTCCCAATTGCCACCCCTATTAATACATATAGGATACAAGATATAGGGTACCGTTGGTTATAGGGAATATACTAGATAGAGATTATATGGAAAAAAATTATATAGATACGAGGCTCTCAACAATCAAATTATATCACATCTCTAGAATTTTACTAAAAGAGGTTGTTTTGATGCCCAAATATCTTCAAATTGATCATCTCAACATCAAAATACATGGATATAAGAAAAAAATTAGATTTCAAGTTTTGAAAATAGTGCATTTTCATAGATATGCTTGATCTACACTATTTTTTAAGCTTAAAATTTTATAATTAGAGATGAAAATATATTTTAAGACTATCGCAAAGATTTCTAGTATTGAATCCACATTTATCGACACTATTTAAAAGTGCTCTTTACTTTGATTGTTTAGAGTATTGGCCCTATACAAACTGCACTTATATATTAGATAGAGATTACATAAATATTTTTTAAATTGTGTAGTTTCTATTTCTAGGGTGATATGAGTTATGAAAGATGATGCCTTATAACTCATTTGGTGTGAATGAAGATTTTATTGGTTGGGGTAACCCATTGGAGGTCTAGCCGCTCAAAGTGGCTTGTAAGGAGGTTTGCCCTTCAAGGAGGCTATGTTTTTTTATTCAATAGGTAAAAAAATAAATTTTAAGGATTTGAAGGACAATTTTTAACCCTTAATGGTAAGATGGATTCTCGGTGTGTCACGGGACGCTGATGTAGAATTGCTTACCCCAATGCATAATACATTTTTCCTGAATCTAAGTACCATAAGATGATTATTTTCTAAGCAATAGATTTTAATTTCTTTAACACTTAGATCTTGTCTTGTGAAAAATTATGGTTTTTTTTCAATCTTTAAACATTATTAATTTTTTTAGGCACATAGAGAATCAGGTTTAATTTATTTATTAAGCTTGTTTTTAGGTTCCAGAGACTATATCCCCAAAATTTAGGGACAAAAAATATTCGTAACATGAATTTTACCCAAGGGAACATATGCATAATGTGCCCCATGGAACATCAATCATTTCACTTATTTAATAATGCAAAATCTTAACATGCGTGCTCTACTCACACATGTAACTCTAATTCCCAGCCAGGACGAGTTAGCTTGGTACCAAGAGAAAAAATATATTGATGAGAATTTTTTCAATTTATTCATTCCATGGAACAAAAGGATGTTTGCGAACGGAGACAATAGTGATTGGAAGACTTACTGTCTTTTTGCTCGATTTTGATTCATGTACAAATTTTAGAATTGTGATACTTGTTGAATCGAAGATATCTGTATTCTCACGGGTATCACAAAATCACTCAAATACTAGATCAATAGGTCCGACAAATTGTATAGCTTCTTCTATTTCTCGATAAAAAAAAATATGACCAACAGTGGTTCGAATGTATATACAAACGATTTCCTCTTTTTTTACACTTTTTACTATTTCATAGTGCTCATGACTCTCATGGTAGATACTCAAAGATTCATATTGAACTTCAATGGGAACTTTTCTATTTATTGAGGCAATCATGCATTGATCTAATCGCCACCGGAGCCCTAAATGACTGTATAAGTCGATTCGTTTCTGACAATAAGCTCCAAGTGCGTCGTACGAACTACAAAAATAAGGTTCTTTCTCTTTTGTATACTTATAATTATTATCGTCAACCATTTCATTTTGATAGTTTATGTGGTTACATAGATTATACCTATTTGTACAAATAACTCACAATTTCTAATCGTTAGTACATAGCGGCCAATACGCATATCTTGAGTTGGTACATAAGTAGAATCTCCAATAGCTAGAGACAAGAGATTCATATGAAAAAACATAAATAAATGAGCTTTTGCTTGAGCTTCCAAAGACAAAGGTCATGAACAGCCATATCCCCATCGAAATCTGCATTGAATCCTTTATGAACTCATGGATGTAAACAAATAGCACGCCCCTCACTAGAATAGCTTGCAACGCTTGTATGAGATAGTGGAATGGGACTTCTCATTCCGCTATAAGGTTCTGGATCACCGTAAACTCAACCGACAAAAAACAAGTCCCCAATTTCTTGAACCTTGAGCAGCAATCCAATCCGACTCAATGTTCATTTCAAGGCCCATTACTTAGTACTGGTAGGCTTGCAAAACATTTGAGAGCAGGTTCAATCACGATGTCACAAGTTTGCCTTTGAGCATCTAATCTTGATTTGGCTTTTATTTTTATTTTTTAACAAATTATTATAATATGAGACTTGGGGTGTCTCCTTCTACTGACCACCTAATAAAAATAAGAACAAATCATCTCCAAATCTCATATTATAACATGGTGTTTTTGTAGCCACACAAAAACTCATATTATAACATGGTGTTTTTGTAGCCACACAAAAACTGCGTGCTGCCTGAGAGTGGCAAAGTAATTTTGGTGTGAAAGGCTTGGTTCCGAAGAATGGAGGAGAGCGGGAGACGTCTGATGGAGCATCAGACCCAGGATCTCGATGCCCAGTTCTTTCCCTGGATCAGTCTATGATGGAGCGAAAAAAAGAAATTCAAAATTCAAATTATAATTTTTTTTTTTTTTAGTTTATCTTTTAAATTAGGAGGTTATGCAGGGATAGGTGGGTATTGAGTTTGTGTGTGAGTTATATTTATGGATTGGATTAGTTAGTTTAGGAATATAAATAGCATAAGGTTAAATTTAGGAATTAAATAAGATAGAGTTACTATGGTTAGTTTAGGAGTATAAATAGGATATTCTAGGGGTTTAATCTTTTCATATAAATAGGATAATATTAGATCTAGGGGTTTTATCTTTTCAACAATAGCTTTCGTTAAAACTTGGGGGTTTATCTTTTCAATAATGGGTAAAATGTTGGTGGCACGTGAATTTAAGAGAGAGAATATAGGGATGAGAGAAAATAGGTTAAAGGAGAAGATAGGGATAAGAGAAAATAGGTTAAAAGAGATAAAATATGACAGTCAGTTTATTGTTTATCTTCTTTTTTTTTTGTGGATTTTTATTTTCTTCCCTACATTAGTTTTCATCAATTGGTATTATAGCAAGTTAGGTCAAGAGTTTACCATGCCACCAAAAGCGTCTAGAGTTTACAATGCCGTTAATCAAGCTAATTCTGCTCCGGATATGGATGATCGTTGTGGAATAGGTCCAAAGTTTACAATGCCACCAAAAGCTTCCAATTCTGCTCCGGCTATGGATGATCGTTGGGGAATAGGTCTAGAGTTTACAATGCCACCAAAAGCGTCCAGAGTTTACAATGCCGTGAATCAAGCTAATTCTGCTCCTGCTATGGATGATCGTTGGGGAAAAATTTTGACTACGAGGATTTTTGGACTGAAGTACATGAGATGAATTAGAGGATGCAACGCCTAGAGGATTTTCAAGAAGTACATGAGATGAATCAGAGGGAGGATGCAATGGTTGGATCAAACGTTGCAATGGTTGGAGAACAATCTTCATCGTGAAGAAGAAGAAGGTGCTCATAGCCACATTCATCTTGCACCAGTAATTCTACAACAGATCGAGAATGTTGATTTCAAGCGTACTGAAGAAATTTACCGGACATATTCACGTCATAACAACCACAAGCTTTTGATATTAAAATTGATCTCCCAAAATTTCATATAGAGCAACCACAAGATTTTGATACTAAAATTGATCTCCCAAAATTTCAGGTTCAAAAGTGTTCATCGATTGGATATAGTGCTTCTTTGG